GTGGGTTTGGCGTGGGTTTGGCGTGGGTTTGGGTTACTAATGGGCGTGGTTTTGGCGTGGGTTTGGCGTGCGTTTGGCGTGGGTTTGGCGTGGGTTTGGGTTACTAATGGGCGTGGGTTTGGCGTGGATTACTATGTATTTATATATATTTTTTTATAAGAACAAGGCTAGTCAGATATTGTTTCTAAAATGAGTGATATGACTATAGCCTTATCATAAACAAAAAATATAATTAGAGCATTGTTTTAAAAACGAATGGTTTAGTTTTACGACCAGTTTGAATACTAAGCATTTAAAAATATATAATATTTTGTTATTTAACAGTTCGATGATGAATAAACATTGTTTATAAGATGAATTGTTTAGCCGCATGCCCAATTAAGAGAAAAGTAGTTGTGCAACCTGTTTATGTATAACAAAGGCAAAATATTAGGCATTATTTCTAAGTTGAATGACATGACTTAAGCCCCTATGTAAGTTGGGATAAAAAAATAATAGTCTAAGGGTTCAACCAACTACTTATATGAAAAACAATTTTAGATTTTGTGAAATACTTACCTTGGTTATACGTGTTTCGTTTTAAGTCTAGTCTGATTTATCTTTTGATAGGCAGTTACTTTAGATGCTCGCCGTGTGCTGAAGCTATAAGAGTTAGTTCAAAATTTATTTTTCAAACTTAAATTTATTTTTAATTTATATACGATATTGTATAAATATGGAAAAAATATTTTTGCTAGGGAAAGTGTTGCCCAAATTTCTACGAATCCAAAGAGTTAACAATTTTTTTTCATTACGAAATTCAACTTTTATCTCAAACATATATCTGGCTTAGTAAAAATTTATGAAGTCTACCCTCTCTAAGAGAAGGGATGCCGAAAGTTTTACTAATAAAGGGTGTTAGACAAAAAAATAATTTTGTGAAGTTAAAATTATTTTTAGGATTCAAGTTTAGCTTTGTATAAATTTTAGAAAAACGTTTTCGTTAGGGAAGCGCTTTAATTTTATTTTACAAATTTAAAGAGTTAGTTAAAATTTTGCCTTTGCATTTGCAACTTAGTATAAATCTCGGAAAGTTACTTTTCTTAGGGAAGTGCTGCCAATATTTTAATAATTCAGGGGGTCGAATAAAATTTGACTTTATAAATAAAAGGTCGTATTTGAAATTTCAGGTTTAGCATAGTATAAATTATGAAAATGCATTTCCACTAGAGGTAGTATTATTGAAAATGTTATAGTTTCAGGAAATTAGTTTATTTTTTAATAGAAAAAACTTCATTAATCCAGCCTGTATTGAGGAGATGCGGCCCAAATTTTCTTAGATTTATGATATCAATCAGAGATAGGTTTAAACTTAGTCTTGTGAGGAGTTGAATAAGATGTGATATGTGGTTTTATCCTCCATACACCTATATATAACTTCGAATAATGTTATGTATTGTGTTATAGATCTTTTTCGCTCACTTCGATTCAAGGTTAACTGGTTTCAGCCTGATTCTGCAAGAATAAACTTCTGTGATATTTTGATAATCAGTAAGTTTACAACTCAACTTTAACTCGCTCTTGCGACTCAACCTAAGCCCTTAACCCTCTGTGGGTTGAATTGTTTCTTTGAGATTTTACCAATAATTTTATTAAATGGCCGTACTTGGAGGGAAGTCACACTGTGGTTGTAAGAGTGATCACCTCGTGTTTAATAATCCTATTATGCTTATATTCGGTGTATTTGCGCTATTTACTTTGACTGTGTAGAATGATAAAGCGGATTTGCGATGAAAGAAAAAAAAAATCCCTTTTAAGTTTGATTTGTCTAATTTTTATAGTTGAGCATTGAGGTACAAGGCGGCTGTCAAAGTCAAACCCTTTAACATGTTCCAAGACCTCCAAAGATGGGGCCTCTTCCCAAGAGTCAGGGGTGTTTCGCCGCCATAAAGGGTCGAAGCCCACCTACCGCTCCTCTCAACAGTGTACAGAAGAGGGAAGGACTCACAATCACGAATGCGATTGTTTAGTGTCATGAGATTAGTAACCTCTCAAGACGCGTGTCAGCTGACACTTGAGTGCCGAAAGCGACCCTCAAAATCATTGAGGACTGCATGGTTATGAGCACCACATAATACATCATCACTGCAACTGCTTGCGTATTCATGCATGACTAGTCGACATGATAAAACCTATGTTGCCTCGATATTTATTCAGAGTCTCGCGTACGACATCCGCTTGTTTTTATTGTTAAAGGTTATGGGTTGAAAGTGGAAAAAAAACATTAGTTGTACTTTAAGTGCAAAACTTGGTTTTATCTTGTGAGGTGTATCTCGTGGTTTAGATTGGCCGTCCTAGTTGGTCTGCGTAGAACCGCGCTTGGGAGATCAGCCCCCATAGCGTTGGCTCGACTGCAGGTTCAATTGAAGTCAATCCTCCTTGCTGGTGGACCTTCCCCTGGGGTAGCACTTATCTGCTCTTTTTTCATTTTTAAAGGCTCAACCAATTCAATTAGCAGGCAGCACGAGTTCAAGCCTCCAACAAGGGTCATGCAGCGGCCGGCTGCACCCTATCTGCAGGTGGGCGATACCGGCCAGGGGTCAGCCGGTAGCATCAGGACCGAACTTCTCCGATGAGTCAGTTGCTGCTCCTCCCCTCTTGTACCCTCCCCATGCAAACCTCAGCAGTCTCTGCTCAAGGCCGCTGAGGGGCCCCAACGGCCTATCTCTGGGTGGCGGGCACCACGCTTACTCTGGAAGGTACACGAGGTCAGTGGGGACTGAACCTAAGATCTCCTGAATGCCACTTGTGTGCCTTTCCAAGTGCAAGCTTGCCCTGATAGGCCCTGAATGTAGGCCCTGCATGCCACTAGCGTTCGTTGGGTCTGAAATATTTCCATCATCCCCCTACCGGTACCGGTTCAACTGTTCAGTATACCCCTACGAATAGCTGTTTGGTACCAGCACAAATTTGACCCTACCATACCAGGGCAGAGCAGAAAGTTGCCCTTGCTTCTGACAGGGGCCTGGCACAAATATTCCAGGGCCCAAGGACACAGCAGAAAAGTCAAAGGTCAGAAGGGCGCGCTGCAAATAAATGCAACTTTGAGGGTCAAGACGCAAAATTTCCCACAGAAAAAGAAAAAGAAAAAGAAAAAGAAAAAGAAAAAGAAAAAGAAAACTTTCTAACGGGAACCCCCCCCCCCACAGTCGGTACCCTCTGCCCCGTGATGCCGGTGCATTGACAGTTTTCCGCCGGCCTCTGACGAATCCACGTGGTCCAGACTGTGGGGCAGTTTGATCTGCACTCTTATGGCAAAACGCTCGGTTACGCAAATCGGCTACAGACTAAAAAGGTAAAGTGTTAATTGATTGACGAGTCAAAAATTCAATCGTGTACTGCAATAGGAGAGGGTGCATGGAGTTGATTGCTCGATCGATCTGTAGCAAAAATGACGGAGTGTGATCGACTCGGTCGATCTGTAGTCTGTAGCAAAAATGATGACGTAGCTGATCGACCGACCGGTCGATCGATCGATCTTCAGCAATCCTGATGACGTAGTTGATCGATCGAGTCGGTCGATCTCTAGCAATAATGATGACGTAGTTGATCGATCGATCGATCGATCGATATTTAGGAATTGAGTGTTTTGTAGCTTGCTATGGGAGAGAGCGATGGCGGCGAGAAGGTGGATAGGTGGAGGCAATGATGAACATTCGGGCGGACTACAGTGAGAGGGGAGGGGGGGGGGGGGGGGGGGGGGGGGGGGGGGGGGGGGGGGGGGGGGGGGGGGGCGGGGGGGGGGGGGGGCGCTGGCGGGAGCGCATCAGAAAGTGCTACTGCCTTCCCCCCCTTCTTGCCCCGAACACAATGCGCCGTGGTAAGTTGATAACGAGAATGTAGACAAGCTATCGTCCCGCATTATGTTCCGTGCAGGCAAAATGAGGGTGTGTGAGGAGGAGAAGAAGGCTTAGATCGTCTGGTTGATTGATTGATTGATTGATTGATTGATGATTACCCTTGTGGCAGATTAGGGTTTGAGACTGGTGATCAAGGATGGAGGATGGAAGGTGGTTTTGACACGCTTGCGCTCTGGCTTGTCCGCTCGTGCCCTCTCTCTCTCTCTCTCTTTCTCTACAAATGGGAATACCCACGTCTTGATGACGAACAAGGCCATCTGCTGTATATAGATATGTAATCGGGGATTTCTCTTTTTTTGCAGACAAGAGTTTTGTCCTGGGTGGTCTCGTCCCGTCGTTTGGCCTGTGAAGGAGGGCCGGTGCTTGCATGTGGGACTTGTCATCTAGGATCTGTTTTTGGTGCTGTTGCTTGATGCCCCCTGTTTTGCTGTATTTGGCTGTTCCCTTCCTCTTTTCTYTGCYTCTTTGCCCTTTGGCTGTGTGCAAGTGGGTCGATATGACACACGGGGGTGGGGGCAGCCGCCGCTCAACCTACATCCACGTGGGCGGCCTTGTACGCAAGAGGTTCTGAACAGGGGGAGTTGTAAGGAAAAAGATATAAAAAAATGAATTCGTTTTTTCTTTTTTCTTGTTTTCTCTCTGTTTTTTCCGGCCTTTGCGCTCTGATATTCATGTGACATATAAATATCCACGTGGGCGGCCTTGTACGCAAGAGGTTCTGAACGGGGGGAGTTGTAAGAAAGAAGATAAAAAAACGAATTATTTTTTTCTTGTTGTCTTCTGTTTTTCTCGCCTTTGCGCTCTGATATTCATCTGCCGATCTATAAACAGTATATATAAATATATACAAGTACAGTATATATATATGTATAGAAACTCCGACGAAACAGTTTGCCACAGCCCCTCGTTTGTTGTCCTCTTCTCTCTCTCTGCCTACGGTTTACCGGGCAGTTCTGTTTGTGACGATATATACATATACATATACAAATAGTATATATAAATTTATATTGGTCTCGCCCACACGGCACATGAAACGAAAATGAAACGCGTGCATCTACCCAGAGAAGGTGGCGATCAACCCACTGGTTGCTACTCATGTAAGGAATGAATCTTTCCAGTTTCGTTGGAAAGATGCACTCGTTTTCTTCTTCTTCTTTTTTTTTTTTTCATTTCGTGCGTGCTGTGGCGCGCCCCTATGTTTTGGTTTCTTTCGCTATTCGATATTTATTTTGCTGTCATCCAAGGGTTGACGTGTCACTTTGCGGCGTGCTGCCTGCCTGTCGTCTTGTCGCGTGTCCATTTGCTGTTTGATTTCGTTGCTGTGCAGTGATTACCTGTTTAAGCTCTTCGTTGTCGGAGATTGAGGCGTATGAAAGTAGCGGCTTCTCCTTCGGTTTGTGGTGAGTGGCTTTCTTTTGCTCTAATAAGGAGCTTCGCCTCCAACCCTCTGTTTATCGTCCTACTTATCGTGATGCTCGATGATCATGATTGGTTGATTGATTGATCATCGTAAGTGATTGGCAGTAATTGATTCATGATCATAATTCGTTGATTGATGATGATTGATTGATTGATTGATTAAGTGATTGATGATGACTGATTGATTGATTGATGATGGCTGATTGATTGATTGATTGATTGATTGATTGATTGATGATGACTGATTGATTGATTGATGATGGCTGATTAATTGATTGATTGATTGATTGATGATGACGTTTGATTGATTGATTGATGATGGCTGATCGATTGATCGATTGATTGTGATTGATCAGTTCTGTTTGGTCATGATGCTTGTTGACTATGAATGACTGATGATTGATTGATTGATTGATTGATTGATCATCATAAGTGATTGACGATGATTGATGATCATGATTGGTTGATTGATGATGATTGGTTGAGTGATGCTTGATTGTTTGATTGATTGATTACGATTGATCAGTTCTCTTTCCAAAAAGATTTGTCCGTACGAAGCCTTCTTTCACAAACCACGTGTACCCATCTCGATCAAAGTAAGGCAAATCTTGTATAGATAGGTTATTGATAATCATGATTCACTGATAATCATGATTGACTGATGATCATGATTGACTGATGGTTGATGATGATTGCGTTGACGGCACAGTAATGGAAACTTCAAGTCCTTCTGCACTGCAAGTGCACGCCGCCGCTACATCAATCGCCAGCCCAGTGTGATGTAGTGTCATGCACTTGCACTAGGAGGTCCCACTACGGGGCTCGCTCCACTACTTACGAAATGTGCAAAATGAAAATGAATTTTCCGCTAAAACATGGAAAGATGCACCGTCATATTTTTCTGTGTTTTGTTGGTGCGCGAGCACCCCTATGGCTGCTCCGATCCGAACGCAATCCCAAAGTTTTTGGAAGCGAGGCGGAAGTGATTTTTTTTTGGAAGCGAAGCGAAGGTTGATTTTGTTTTTCGAAGCGGAAATTGATTTTCCCTCCAGCAGGTCCACAAAAAAAAGAAGGGCAGAAATTTGGTGCATGATTTATTTGTCGCACCCTATAAAAAAAATTAAAAAAATCGCTTTTGTGTTATGATGAAAAAAACGAGAGCAAAAAAAAAAACAGAAGCGAAGAGACTTGTCGCACCTTCTTTTCTCTCTACCAGCTCTCAAGGTTTGCCTCTGAGTCGCCCCTCCCTCTTCAACCTATCTGCTCATGTCCCAACTTAGATCTCTCACAACAAAAAATGTCCCAATTTGATCTGATCTCGCGCAACAAAAAATGTCCCAACTTAGATCTGATCTCTCGCAACAAAAAATGTCCCAGCTTGACCAAGACGTCGAACACAAACGAGAATACCATTCGTCATCACCATTTGCCATCATCATCATCATCATCATCATCATCATCATCATCATCATCATCATCATCACCACCATCACCATCACCATTCTCATCCCCATCCCCATCCCCATCCCCATCCCCATCCCCATCATCCCCATCATCATCATCATCACGGTGACCATCCCCATCCCCATCGCCATTCCCATCCCCATCCCCATCCCCATCCCCATCCCCATCCCCATCCCCATCATCCCCATCATCATCGTCATCATCACGGTGACCATCCCCATCCCCATCCCCATCCTCCTCCTCATCATCGTCATCATCACCATGACCATGACCATGACCATCACCATCACTGTTATCATCATTGTCATCATTATCATCATCATCATCATCATCACATGATCATCACTATGATCGTCATAGTCACTGTTATGGTCGTGATTACCATCACCATCATTTCTTCATGATGATCATCATCAGCCGCAGAAGCAGCAGGGGCAGCAGGATCATCATCATTATCATGGTCAGAACCTCTACAATGAATGACCAACTCTACATCCACCTCATCATCATCATCATCAGCAGCAGCAGCAGCGTTGTCATCAAGAATCACAATACTTATGTAAACACACAACTGATGATCAAATGACAGATAGTCTACAGTTCATTCGACCATGAAAAATGATGGTCATCCTCACCGTCATCATGTGTTCATCATCATCATCATCATCATCATCACATCACCATCATGATCATCATCTTGATCATCATCATCATCATGATCATCATCTTAGAATTTGAGGTGTGCCAACACAACAAACCCCGTAGTCAGACACACCTTTATGCTTGCTTAAAGCCTCTCCCTCTTCCCTATAGCAAATCTCTGGAGAATCAATAGCCATGGACTTTCATAGGCATTTTTTTTTTGGTCACCTACCTATAGGAACGGAAATAGACACAAATCTCTGGTAATAGATCGATTCCCGAAGTTTGCTAGCTTGGTACTGCTTTCTTTTTTTTTAGTGGAAAAAAACTATTGTTTGTTTCTTTTTTTTTTTGGGAAAAAGTTCACGTGGGTCACGACTTACCGGAGTGATAAGAGCATCTCCGATTCTCCATTAAGTCGTGACCCACGTTTTTTTTGGGAAAAAACTTCTCGTGGCTCCCACTTCTAGACAGTTGTGACGACCGTATGGAGTTAATCTTTGGAGACTTTGCTTTTTCGGGGAAACTAGGCGGGAGTCACAAAAATGAGTTATAACTTAAAACTTATAAAACTTATAATTGCACAATGATGGGCAAGATACAGTCTCGAATTGCAGTTGGGGCGGCAATGTATACAACCCAGCCTTCTGGCCAGGTGCAGGGTGCCCGAAGTGCAATTGCAAACTGTATCTTTCTTGCCCCATAGTAGTGCAATTGTAATCTGTAACTCGTTTTTGCGACTCTACTGCGGTTTGCCAATTACCCCTGTTTTTTGAAAAAATAAATAAAAAAATAAAAAAATAAAATAGCCTTGAGATATCGTCATTGATCTGACTGGCCCCCCAGGTAATTCAGAATGATTTTATGTCATTCATCTAGATTTGAGCTTGGGTCTGTCTTTCAACAATTCATGGGTGTACCACCAACTGAGCTACTGTAGTGCAAGGAAGATGAGCGATAGCGCAATCCAGAAACACCAAGCAGCATCATACATATGAAACCAGATAGTCTTTTTTTTAATTTTTTTTAATTTTTAATAAGCTCCATCTATTGGTGGGGAGCTACACCTGCTGGAAACCAGGTCCAGCGTCCCTTACATTATGATGGATTACATCATGAAAAGATTACCAGGAACAAATTTCAGTGTTCCCTATGCTGGAAACCGGGTCCAGCGTCCCATCTGACCTCGAACCAAAAGCAGATTCAGATTCTGAATTGCGACTCGAGTTCCACCAAATAAGAGCACAGCACAAGCTCTCAAGTGACAATGTTGGGAATATAGTCTCGTCGGCATCACCGATGAACCAATGTTGTTCCCCTGTCTGGCGCTCGGCGCCCAGACTACAGATGGCAGATCCCATCTAGCCTATATCTACAAAAATGTCGCTGGTGACGTCAACAGATTTCCCAAGTAGAAGCAGATCTCGGCCAATGCCGTTCGCATCAAGCACCAGGTGGTATGTCCCTCGCTTCGCTCACAACCTCGATCCTCCAAACAGATGCCACATGCACCGGAAGACGACCGTGCGGCCCATCCAGAAACCAGCAGGCCAGCGCGGCTACGGCTGCCTGCGTACACCCTGCTGGCCCGTGAGCGTGTGGGCACTCGCATCCGCAGCCAGCGCAGCAGCGCTTACACCAGGAGCAGCAAGTGGCCGAATATCCAGCCAGCAGCCAGGCCCCGAAGTGAACCATGGCTGGTTCTCAGGTCCCGAAGTGAACCATGGCTGGTTCTCAGGTCCCGAAGTGAACCATGGCTGGTTCTCAGGTCCCGAAGTGAACCATGGCTGGTTTTCAGGTCCACAAGTGTTTCACCATGGCCAGGGAAGAGTCTTTGTAATTTAGAGTGAATGCTGTGTCTGCCTATTACATCCAGATCATGAGGTTAGTAAGGGTGAAGAGGAAGTAATTTGAGGGATTCCCAGAGGGGTTCAAACCCAAGGGAGTGGAACAGAGGCCTGACAGACCCAAAGAGGGGCCCTGTGTGTGGGCCCATGGGTGAACAGAGGCCTGATGGGCCCTAAGAGGATGTAATTTGAGGGATTCCCAAAGGGGTTCAAACCCAAGGGAGTGGAACAGAGGCCTGACAGGCCCAAAGAGGGCCCCTGTGTGTGGGCCCATGGGTGAACAGAGGCCTGATGGGCCCTAAGAGGGGGGGTTGCATGTTGGTTGGCCGGGCTGGGCTGTGGAAAGGCCAGACCAAGTAATGTACAAGTAGTTTACGGCAACGGCCAGGCCTACCCTTCTTCCCCCGACGACAATGTACTGTCTTTTTATCTGTATTTAGACTGAAAGGTACCCCAAATACGGCTATAATGACTGCACGTTGTGTTTGAGGGAAGGAGGTTGTCCGATAGCTTCTTCTGAATCCCATCAAGATTTCACCCTCGAGTATTTGGAGGCAAAATACAGCTATAATGACTGTACGTTGTGTTTGAGGGACTGATCTTGATCTTGATGGTTCAGGCCTGTCCTGAACCATCAAGATTTCACCCTCGAGTATTTGGAGGAGGCCTAGCGCAAGCCAGAGCACTTTTTTTTCTTTTTTTTCTTTTTTTTGGCGGGAGAGGATAGCGTGTTGCTTTTTTTTTTGGAAAGGGCTGGCAAAGCGTGAGTGGGTCGAGAAGCCATTGCCAAGCTACCGACTTCACCCGAGGAGAGCGCCCGGTCATTGTAGCTGCATTTGGGCCAAGTTGCGGTCCAGATACAGTGTAATGACTGGGCGGCGTTCTATTTGGGTGAAGACGGTAGGCAGTTCCCAACGCCAGCATTGCCAGCTGTAACTAGCACCAGGGCTGCGCACCTGAATATAACGTACGGTCATTATATATAGCTGTATTTTGGCCACTTTTCAGTCTAGGATACTGAGGTACTGACCGTACGTTCTGTTCGGGTGAATGCAGACTACCCCACCTGCAACTGAGGTTAAAGTGGACTATCACTTACAGCACCATCTGTTGGGGGACTCTGCAGACTGTTGAGGATTCTGACTCTGGATCAGTCGGCGAAAGTCTGACGCAACAATCTGTCACAGGGCCCCATTTCTTGTCCTTTTCTTCCTCTTAGGATTCTGCCTGTGGTTCACCATGTAGCTCTCTGTGACAATAGGCACCTTTTAGAGGTGGGGGGGGGAGGGGGAGAGGGGGAGGGGTAGTTCCTTGCCATGGTTTACCTGTCCGTTTTTGGAGGGGCAGTGCGGTTGGGGTTTTGTGGCTAGGTGGCCATGCTGTGCCTCTAGTGCCAGCAGTGTGTCTGGACTCTGAAGTGTGTTTTCTGGCTGCGGTGGACCTGGTTTCATTTTATGGGGGCTTTGCCGGCTTTTGTTTGATGGGGTGCAGTAAACCCATGTCTGTAGAGTCTTCCACCTGGTGTGGGTGGGTGATATAGTCTGCTTGGTTTTCGTCACAAGTGCCCAAGAGGGCAGCGTTTGGTACCCATTTCGGGGTATCAGCTGCTGGGCAGCGGTTGGCGCCGACGTACGACTGGGATTAATGTGGTTTATCCCTCTCAGTACTGCCGGGCAGGGGACCCTGCACACGACAGAAAGTTCAGCCCCCTTATGATTTAATGAACACATGTGGATCCACCGCAGCTATGCTGCGGCCGTGGAGGGAGAGCAAAGGTGGAGGCGGGGGGGCGGCAAATGGGAGAAGATAAGGAGGAGAAGAAGGGAAAGCGGTGGACAATTCAAAATGCAGAGGGCGAGTTGAGTCAGAACGAATGCATGGAGAAAATCACAACCGTGAAGAGGACATGATGGGAATGAAGATGATGATGATGATGATGATGATGATGACGACGACGACGACGACGATGATGATGATGATGATGATGATGATGATGATGATGATGATGATGATGGAATGGGGGCTTTGCCGGCTTTTGTTTAATGGGTAGTAAACCCATGTCTGTAGAGTCTTCCACCTGGTGTGGGTGGGTGATATAGTCTGCTTGATTTTCGTCATAAGTGCCCGAGAGGGCAGTGTTTGGTACCCATTTCGAGGTATCAGCTGTTGGGCAGCAGTTGGTGCCAAAGTACGATGGGAATTAAGGTGGTTTATCACTCTAAGTGCTGCCTGGCAGGGGACGCTGCACACGGCAGACACTTCAGCCCCCTTATGATTTAATTAAAGTTCAATGAAACAGCCTTCCGCAGCCCCTCCCAGTTTTCTTATCCTTTTCTCCCTTTCCACGTAGAGTTCACAGGGCAGTTTTCATGTGAAGTACAGGAGAAAAGAATTGATAGGTATCAGGAAAAGAAAAAGAGGCCATTATAAAAATGCACAGCTCTTACCGACTGGCCTAGCTCCGTCGCGTAACGTCTATCAATTGCTCAAACACAGACCTGAGTTCGAATTCCAATGGAATCAGATAAGTTCAAAAAAAATACCTCCGAATTTAGCTGGGGCCGGTCAGTCCAAAGACGATATCTCAAGGCCAATCGCCCTTTTTTGTTTTCTTGTTTTATTTTCAAGCACGGTTCCCCTGGTCTTTGTTCATCTGCGCTTGCCACAGCCCTCCGTTTGGTGTCGTTTTCCCCCTTTCTGCCTGCGGCTCACCGGGCAGTTTTATTTGAAGTAAGAGGGAAAATAACTGACAGGAAAAGAAAGAAAAAGGTAATGATTACAAAGTATAGTAAAAGGCAAGGTGCCGCAAAGAACTGACCGGAAAAGAAAGGTAATTAATAATTATGAAAAAAATGCAAGGTGCCCCACATCTTTGTGCATCCGTCCAGTTGACGTGCACTTGTACTGTGTAAAGGGGGGCACTACTGCGTAAATCACCCTTTTTTTTTTTCTTTTTTTTTTTTTTCCTGCTTAGATGAAGTTAATCGCCCCTTTTGCTTATTTTTTTTTTCACCGCTTAAATCACCCTGACCGATCTGGAAACATGTGCTCGGCAAACAGGTACAGCCTATGGGAATGCCATCAGCAGTATGATTGGCATCATCTCTGAGTCTACCGACAAGAGTTTCATGTGGCTGAATTGGCTGTGGTTCAGTCCAGAGGTTGATGTCCATTCTGTCCATCAGTGTGCTCATTGCACACCACAAGGGGTTGGGGGTTGCGCCTACACAGCACGGCACTGGTCTTCTTCTGCCTGTGGCGCACCACGAGGACCTCTCCCAAACGCTGCTCCAGGCGTATGCTACCAGAGCGTCCCGTACCGAGCTGTCAGCACCGGCTGTGAGTCGGATGGAATGGAGATCGTGGCAAGAAGCAGGGTGTTGCTTGCGCCAGTGGAGATGCATTGAGGTGGCCACTGTATTTCCAGCTTTGTGCATACGTTGTTGCGTGTATGCCATGCATGCGGGATCGAGTCGTCACCACCGGATGTGAGTCGGATGAGGCAGCAATCATGGTGAGAAATGGGGTACACCTTTCACCAGAGGAGGTGCTTTGATGTGGCCGGCACTGGCCGCTGTATTTCCAACTTTTCACAACGCTGTCGCATGTAAGCCACGCAAGTGGGAAGTACGTGCATCATTCAGCAGGTAGCACTGTGATTCTCTGAATGCATTTGTGGTAAGTGTAGGGAGGAGGAAAGGAAGAAAAGGGGGGAAAGCACGTTTGCGCGAGCTGGTGGGTGCTTAGCCAAAAAAAAAGGAGGAGGAACAAAACAAAAGGGGAGAAAAAGGAAAGCGTAGAAGACAGCTTTTGGAAGAGAAGGAAGGAACGAGGAAGGAAGTGAGGTGACCGCAAGCATGACACGGGCAGGTCCACCCCCGACAGCACATCAACCTGCAGCGAGGCAGAAATATGATCGGCAGCTGCGGATCTGGGGGGAGCATGGGCAGGAGGCCCTCAAGACTGCACAAGTATGTCTTCTTAACTGTGGACCAACTGGCTCCGAGGCTCTCAAGAATCTTGTGCTGGGCGGCATCGGGTCCTTCACCATAGTGGATGAAGCTAGGGTGAAGCCGGCTGACCTTGGAAACAACTTCTTGGTGGATCATGAGAGCTTGGGACAATTGAGGGCTAAGTGTGTTAGTGGGCTACTGCAAGAATTGAATGAGGGTGTTGCGGCGCGATTTGTCGAAGAGTCGCCCGAGACCCTTATAGAACATGACGCGAACTTCTTTTCTGCATTTACCTTGATCGTTGCCACGCAGATGACGGAATCATCGCTCGTAAAGTTAGATACCATATGTCGACAGCGCGGCATCATGTTGATCACGGCACGGGCTTACGGTCTTGTCGGTTCCGTGCGAATCAGTCTCCAGGAGCACAGGGTGATAGAATCCAAGCCTGACAATCCGTTGGACGATCTACGGATCCATCGGCCATGGGAAGAACTCAGGGAGTTTGCGAACAGTTGCGATATTGATACAGAGGACCTCCTTGTGCATCAACACATTCCGTTTGCCGTTCTGCTGGTGCGAATCGCCGATGAATGGCGTGCAGCTCACGGAGGGCGGTTACCAAAGACAGCAGCAGAGAAGGCGGAACTGAAGTCCTGGATTACTGCACGAAAGAGAGAGCCGGATGAAGAGAATTATAAGGAAGCTCTGGCATCAGCGTTTAAGGTGTGGTCTCCCCCGTCGATCGGTCCAAGCTTGCAGGCAATTTTGAACGATGGAGCTTCGCACGTGAATTCCGCATCCCCGGATTTCTGGGTCATGGTTGCGGCACTGAAGGAGTTCATGCGGAACGAAGGCGACGGTGAGCTGCCTCTTGACGGTGCGATCCCAGACATGCACTCGTTTACCGACTTCTACATCGCCTTGCAGCAACTGTACCAGAAGAAAGCCGCGGCAGATGTGGCTGCCGTAGCCGTCCATGTTCAGCGCATTTTGAAGGAGGCCGGTCAAGTCCCCGAGTCCATCCCTTGTCCCACCATCAAGCTGTTCTGTAAGAATGCGCGGAACCTGCAGGTGATTCGGTACCGTCCTCTCGCGGAAGAGCAGTGTGCTGCTCTGGGCCAAGGGTCAGAGCTGCACAGGATGCTGGCTGCAGAAGAGAGCAGCAATGCTGTCATATATGTTCTGCTAAGAGCGGTCGATGTCTTCGCTGCAACTTTCAATAGATATCCGGGAGTCTACGACAGCGATGTGGAGGAAGATATCGCGAGGTTGAAGGCGGTTGCTGTGGCACTTGTCAGCGAATGCGGGCTCACTGGGGCCGCCATCCCAGATGATTTGATCAGTGAGATTTGCAGATTTGGGCCCTCAGAGCTCCATGCTACAGCAGCAGTGATCGGTGGAATTGTGGCGCAGGAGGCCATCAAGCTTTTGACGAAGCAGTTCGTTCCTTTGGCTGGCACGCTAATCTACAACGGCATGTCGTCGACAACATCGACGCTCCCATTTTCATAATAATAACGACCATCATCGCAGGCGCAGAGTCCATACACGCCGCTTCAGATGGACTTCAGGCTCGCCACCGAGAGAGAGGAGCGCAGTTTGTATAACTTGTTGCTGAGCTGCCGAGAGCGCTTGAAAGGGTCGTTGTGCCGTAACGCACGATTTTGTCTATTCCAATGACTGGAACCTGAAGGGATGTATGGTGAGAATTTGAGGATATGGTCATGTTTCGGTAGGCGTTAACGATGCTTAGTAGAGCTTTGAATGACGGCTGATTCAGTCTTTTGCAGAGTAGAAGTTGAGTGACATGCATTTTAGGTTCTACCTTCTGAGCCATGTGCGGCGGGCTGCTATTTATTATTTAAGGTATGGTGAGCTTTTAATAATGTGTTGCTAATTTGTTATGTGTTGGCGGCCATAAAACCACAAGAAATCCAAAGCAACAATGTTTAAAAAAAAAACAAACAGAAAGACAGAAAATCTGAAAACAAACAAACAAACAAACACAACAAAACACCAATCAGTGTCCTTTGGAACATCCGTTAAAATTGGAATGATACAGAGAAAGAGAAGATTAGCAGCATGGCCTCTGCGCAAGGATGACACGCATAAATCGAGAAATGGTCCCCGCCAAAAAAAATAAGAAATAAAAATCACCAATCAGTATACCAGGCAACAGCACGTATTCACAGCTCGCCTACGGTCGTGTACCCTTCATGATGACAGCAGGACCAGATCTGCCTGAAGCACGATCGTCCGTCTTCATGTGCTCTGGAAACCGGGGGGGGAATTACATATATATGTCCAGAGTACTGCCTTCTTCCGCCGAATACAACGTACCGTCATTATTTATAGCTGTCTTTGGGGTATATTTCAGTCTAAATACACAGCCATAATGACCGTACGTTGGGGGAAGACGGTAAAGTAAAGTTCTTGCCCACAAGAGGTTGATGCTGCAACTCTGGTAGCACGATAGGTGACGAGGTCGAGCTCCACATCTTTTGGGAAGAGGAAGAAGAGAGTGGAACCAGAAGAATGAAGGATTTGAAACTGGTAGTGGCCATCTATGACTACCGTCTTCACGCGAATACAACATACCGTCATTATAGCCGTAGTTGGGGCAATTTAGAGTCTAGATACAGCAATAATGACCGTACGACGTACGTTGTATTAGGGTGAAGACGGTAGTTGATTGAACTGAGGAAAGGCCTGACTTGGAGGTCGTGGGGGATTTGATTACAACCCCCCCCTTTCAGTTTCCATGGCAGAAGTCAAAGGCGGATAGATGTGCTCTAGGGATATAACGACAATAGTGAACTGTGCTGTGTTTCACCCGGATACAATGTACGGTAGTAGTGAACGGTGCTGTGTTTCACCCGGATACAATGCACGGTAATTCTTGCTGTATCTAGTCTCAAATCTGCCCCAAATACAGCTATAATGACTGTACGTTGTATTCGGGTGAACACAGTAGTTGGTTCGAGGGTAAGCGCACATGAAGTCAGGGAAAGATGTGCTGATCAGAGATAAATTCAGATAATCCTTTCATTAGAAATGCAGCATCATGGGTACGAAGAGGAGAATAGAAGAAACAAAACTTGAAAAAGACTTGGGAGTAGCTCAGTTGGTACACCCCTGGACTGTTGAAATACAGACTCAAGTTCGAATCTAGATATCCTCCTATGAGGAGAATAACATCATTCTGAATTGCCCGTGGCCGGTCAGTTCAACGATGATATCTAAAGGCCGTCGCCCTTTTACGAATTAAAAAAAAAAAAAAAAAGACTTGGGAGTAACGGCGATAGAAGAGAGGAGAAAAGAATTGAGAAAGCAACCCCAACATTTGATTTACTGGGGGAATGTAAACGATTGTCAAACGTATATAGTCAACAATAGGATGGTTTTGGGAAATGCCCCCACAGATATCTTTTTTTTTTTTTTTTTTTTTTTTTTTTAAGCCTAGGATGTTGTAGAGGCCAAGGACCAGACCTGCGGTGATTGCTTGCAGCGGCAGCCAATGGTTGTTCTGACAGGATAGCCCCCCAGGCCCCCCCCTCTCCCTCCTCTTACGTCTTTAATAAACACACCTTGCAACTAACGCAGAACATTGAAAAAGCCTCAAGCGCAGTTAGAGCATATACTCACACTAGCACAGTCTTAAATGTATCTGAGCATAATTTTGGCCCTACTTGGATGCATCCGACCGTAATTACATCCAGAAATAAGTAAAAAGGTCCCTAGTCTGAGTATGTCCTTATTGGGATATACTAAAACGTCTCAAGCACAGTTATTGGGCACCCACCCGGCCAAATGGTTCGGCAGGTGCAGCTTTTTTTTTTTTTTTTTGTCTGTGTGTGTGTGTGTGTGTGTGTGTGTGTGTGTGTGTGTGTGTGCTGTCTCTTATACACATCTAGATGTGTATAAGAGACAGACCATTCGTCATCACCATTTGCCATCATCATCATCATCATCATCATCATCATCATCATCATCATCATCATCATCACCACCATCACCATCACCATTCTCATCCCCATCCCCATCCCCATCCCCATCCCCATCCCCATCATCCCCATCATCATCATCATCACGGTGACCATCCCCATCCCCATCGCCATTCCCATCCCCATCCCCATCCCCATCCCCATCCCCATCNTTTTTTTTTTTTTGTCTGTGTGTGTGTGTGTGTGTGTGTGTGTGTGTGTGTGTGTGTGTGTGTGTGTGTTTTAATGTATAACTTTTCAGTGCAGTAGGTAACTGTGCGCAGGCTGAATCTGGACGTGTGTGTGTGTGATAGTTCATTGCTATTATTGTATTTTGTTCCCTCCTTACGTACACCTTTCATAAGCCTTTCCAAGCACCTGTTGGGCAAGGTCCCATTAGCAAAGAGGACTGGATATAACGCCTGAATCTGGATACGTTTGTGGGGAGGTACGGAAATCGGGATTCTACCTTGTGCATCCTCGCATAAAACAAATCTAGATTCAGGCACTTAATCCAATCCTCTTTGCTAGTGGGACCTCGCCCCTTGTATATGGGACAAAGGACAACGATGTGGGATAAAACACAATGACATGGCGTAGAAGACTGCGACATTTTCCTTTCCATGACGACTTCGATCGTTGTAGGGTTTATAGACGTCATTCATCGCACGAGCCGGTCCGTACCATTGACAGGTCTGTGATTAATGTTGAAGTAGCAAAAATGGCGGTTTCAGCAGTGGCAAACTTATCCTGGCTGATAAAAGGTAAAACGATGCACGTTCTTTGCAATACACTGAATCCTAAACCCTACAATTTGGCGCGACGGATTCTCTACACAGCAACCAAACTCATTACACATGGCATCTGCCCAGCATGTACGGAGGGAGATCATACGCCACGGCCACACAGAGCCCAGGTGTTCCTACTCCCAACAGCTCCCTGGGTGTGGGAGGATGTGCACACTAGGACGACATGGGTGACCACAGCACGGCGCACAAGGACGACATTGCCCACTGCATGGTGGTGGCTCGGGATGACATGGCTGTCCACACAATAGCCTTCCACAGCGCACTCTCCTGAATACATTGCAACTTCATGCTCTTCCGTCCTTTACCCACATCCGAACTCCCAAAGACCAAACAAACTGTCAGTGCAATCCTTTAGGTTGATCATTTTCCTTTTCAGACAATCATTCTCAGTATGCAGACACAACGCCTCCAGTTCCAGCAGCTTCTTCTCCTCCAACAGACGCTTGTGCTCGAACACCTATATATATATCAGCGTTCCTGACAGAGTTTGAAGATGAAAATTGCGTTTGGCGACAAAGTATGCTGCCTCTTCGGCCTGATGAGGCCGCGTGCACCTGCTCTCTATCCTAGCAGCACTCCTGTCTACTGAACAGCTGAGGCGAACAATCTTTCGGATTAAGCCATCTGCCGGTTATGTGCCTGCGGGGGGCGTGAGATGGCGGGGAAAACATGTCCTCAGGAAGTTTGACGGGGGGCTCATGGGGATGTCCGGGTTGATCCTTGTCCATTCGTGGAAGCTCAGCTTGTACTCCTCCATTGGAAGCGCTTCATTGCCTGTATGCCCTGGCCACTCCACTGTAGCTATCCATTCCCCTTCGTCCCCCCCTCGAGCCAGTTTGCACTGAAGGTGTGAAATTTCTTTCACGATATCCTCTTTTTGTGCGAAAAATTGCATTTTGTTGGAGGATATGTTTCGCTGAGCCAAAGTTTCTGTCTGCACAATCTGACCAGCTGTGTTGAGACTTCCTACCCCTCCACTCTGGCTCCCTCTTATCTCATGTCATTGGGTGATCGTCTCCACCAGAGGGTCCATAGCACCGCTTTCCTCCCGAGCGAAAACATGATAGAGGCGAATGGAGAGTTTCCTGGCGGGTACCACGTCCCTTAAACCACCAGTACTTGGGCCAGCTATCGGCCGGGGGAAAAAATAGAGTAGAAACATTTCTGGTGGGATGATTTTGAATTTGGGCGCTCCTGTAGTAGCCCGTACATTTGCTAAAATCGTGGCGCGTTAATGGGCACGACTCTAGGAAGTACAGCTGGTTTAAAGGAGTGTCCTCCAGTCCCATGGCCAGTCCAGCTCTCTGCCTAGCTGCTGCCAGATTCTATCCCACCATCTCCAGAAAAGGACCTCCCTGAGCATTAAAAAAAACAAAACAAAAAAAAAACGGCCTCAATGGTCTCGCAGACTCTCGCTCTCTCGCTGAATCTGTGACTAGGGAAACCGTTCGGGCAGAATTTGTGTCAGGGGAGGGATACAATAGTCCTTTCTGGTCTAGATGGGTATGGTCTCTAAGCCAGTCATTGGTCGAGAGGCATCTGTGTTCGATGATTTGCCATTGTAGTGGGGCAAAATTTAGTTAGACGTGTCATCTGATCGGTGGCAGTCGTTTCGTTTTGGCCATCCGAAAAGGTCGGAGGCCCACCCGAGGCCCGCTATTTTCCCACGCGGCAAAGGTACTAGTGGTATCCAAAATTTCATTAAGAATGGCACCCAGGAGCACGGTTCCACTAGCAACGGAGTAAGGTAAGCTGTGTCCCATAGCACAAACACCTATGGGACATCTGCAGGACATAGTCCGACCACTGATGCAGGAGAATCCGATGGCAGAGAAATTGCTATGGATTTATATTCTGAAGTGGTGTTTTTTTAACTTTTTTTTGTTTTTGTGCTTTTTTTTTTCGGTTCCCAAGAATGGGAGGCGGGAAAAGAAAATAGAAAAAAGGAGGACTCATTTTGATTGGCAGCTCTTCAAA